TTTTGAGGCATCGGCCTGTCGTACTGATATTCGGATCGTTTCTTGCTGACTTTTCGTCTGCGTGTCGCGATACTCTTTATCCCAGTGTCACCAGAGCTATGCACATATGGATATGGATCTCAAGCCTACATTGCGATTGAAGGTGGAATCTATTGCACCAGAATATGGTTTATTCAATCTCTCCTTTACATCATTTGTGCGAGCTTATGGATACCATTCCATTCTTTCAGCTAGCGATTGCGTTGAATCAATCAGTGCAGTTCTCAAAGTGGCAACTGAAGTGAAGCTTGATTTCCACACACTTCATAGTGAAATGGAATGAGTAGTATAGATGATGGAGGTCAGGATGGTACGTTTTGGGATGCTGGACGAGAATTTAAACCATGGAGAGAGTTGTCAAATGAAGTGGTTAAAATATCAGTTGAAAACATTCAGCCTGATTCACTGGAGGCAGGTGATATTGCTACAAAGACGAATGCATCAAATAAACTCAAGGAAAATGCCTGGTGCGTAGAGAACTTTTGGATGCTATCTGATGCCCTATCAACTGAATAAGTTTGTTTAGATCTTTGTCTCTCAATTTTTAATTGGCAATAACATCACACCAATCATGTTTAGACAATGATGTGGCCCGACATTCCTTAAATCAGCCTTACCTCTCAGTATGGCCTTACAGAAATCAATTATACAACAAGGAAGCTCGATGTTAGGAAAACAAAGATCCTTTTAATTCGGAGTTAATTGATCAAAGATGGACCTGATCTACATGTCTTTAGTCATCTAGCTACCTTAACTAGATTAGGGGCTTGGTAGGTATATGCAGTAAGAGATTCAATTAGTGGATCAAATGGAAAAAGTACAGAATCAGACTCAAGTAAGAAAAAACCTAAACATTATCCATTTGTGATTGCAAGTTTAGATGAAATTGGATATTTTTATTTGGTAGTTGGCGTTAATGGTGCAGCTCAATATGTTGACATTAGCATAAGCTAAGTTTTTTGACATCATTTATCTCTTCATGAATTTGTTATGAAAACAGAAAAACAAAAAACAGTTTTTTCTGTTGTTGATGATGTTTTTGGAAACAATAAAGTAGTAAATTTGGTTTAGTATTTCAAGAACCAGCTCAAATACCTGATGTTAGAGCTAGACATGATAGTTCTGAATTAGAAATGATGACTCAATGATTTTTGTACAAAAGCTACATGTTGGTCTTCAACAATAATCTTTTCTCTTACATAGATCATCTTTCTTTTCAATTTCAATTTGTTTTCTTTGGTATGTGTTTTTGTGTTGTACTGTGGGGGGGTTTGGAATAGGGGAGTTCAAGTTAAAAACATGATTAAAATATAATTGCGCCTACCCCAAAATTCTACTTATAACCTTCAAATTTTTGAAACACATTTATAAGGCCTAACCTGAGGAGCACATTCTAGCAAAAAAATGTAAAAACATCATTTTTGAAGGTCTGGGAGGCCAAAGTACAAAATTTTTTAACCACTCTTTGGCCCACTCAAACTCCCCTAATGAATTCTTGGTATTTTTGAATCATGTAGATATACAACTTTCATATAATTATATAGATATCAACTTTTATTAGTAATATGATTGACATTGGATTTGGTGTTTGTATACCCATCGTCAGTTAATCACTTCTTTTATGCAAAGTTTGTTCTCTTTGGATACCATTTATGTCATTTCTTGAATTTCTATTGCCATTGTTTTGTGTTGCTAACATGATTCATTGATTGTGAAGAAAGAGTCAGAAAAAGATGAAGTTGGCCAACACCTGCACCACCAACAATTTTACCTCGGGTTGAAGAATCTGCGGCATTGGTGGATGAAAATCCTTGGACAGATCTTGTCCGAGGTTTCTTTCAAGGTATTTTTATGCCTTGAACAAAACCTTGGATGAAAACCTTGCAATGTTTCTGTCCCAGGTCTGAGAGCCGAGAATACCTCAGATTTTTCAATCTGAGGCAAATTTGTTGGTGGTGCTGTTGTGAAATCCAGGGATCTGCTGATGCTTCTGGAAAAAATATCAATGTTGCTGCAATCCACCATCCCCACAGTGAGTTACTTTCTGTAGAGTCATCAGATTCCTTACAATAGGACTTTTGTATTTTGACCACGCAAGTCATATTCCATCTTTGCAAAGACTAATGCTGATATGGAGCTGATATATGCTTGCAAAATTGGTTTTCAAGTGGAAGGGATTTATGTATCAGAATTGTCCTTGACTTCTTAAACCAAGACTGACATTGTCAAGGCCTACACTCCCATTCAAGACCTGCTTGCTTGGCTTCTCCAGCTCAGACCTAAGGGGGAGACATGCAAGTTGATCCAATTCATAGCCAGTGAATCCCAATCCCAAACTCAAAACCCAATTCCCAACCTTTAAATTTGCTCAACATCATGTTCATTAGCATTTGGATCACTCGTTTTATAAATAGTCTCTCCGATAGCCCTGACATGGTTAATTCCTCAGAAGAAGTAGCACATATTACTTATACTACTCAAAAAAGAGTTCATGTACTTGTGGGCAAGTACTGTGCAACTGAGAAGGTCATGCCCCATCAGTAAATCATGAACTTCAAAAACCAACACGCTCAGTATGAATTTATGGGAAGGCATTTTGACCAGGTACCACTCTTTACTGTCAAGTCACAGTGTGATGCTTTGTGGTGTACACTTGCCGTGAGATGTGTTGAAACAGTTCTGGAAAGGCGTGTTACTTGTAAATCATTTGTTTGCAGTTTGAAACTTGGCTGAAGAACAATCTTGGAAATGTAATGTTTCAGGAAGTGCCCTAGGGCCTGTTTGTATGTTCTAATTTGCTGAACATTATGATCACTCATACCACTGATCAATAATTGCTGATACTTTTAGTGTTGGCATTGTACATTGTCTTTCAAGCTTACACTCAACTGACTCACATTTGTAGCCATAGCTGGACTTCTGGTGGTTGGTACGTTGGGATTGAGTGATGGTATAGCTAAAACCCATGTGGCTCATCATCCATGCTTCAAAATCCCACATTATGATGTTTTGCACACTAAATTAGGACCCCATCATCAATCCACTGATGAAAACTATTGGGATAGCCTTTGGAAAGGCTTTAGACACTGAGTAAGTCTTAACATTATCTTTCAGTAAAATACTTCTATATGATACCACAGAACTGATGTTTGGTTCAATTATTTTGTGGAAAATGAAGGAGATGTAGTGTTTTATAAGAATGCTAAAGTTCAAGCTTTCATTTGATCAAAGGAATCTGATGGTTCTCCAAGTGATTCTGGAATTGAAGTTGATCAAGCTCAATCAATCTACATCACCATTTCCCTCTCTACAATTGACTCAAGCGCACAAGTGATATCTTTTTCTTTGGCTCAATCTATGCAGTTTTGATCAGATTTTCAAGTGGTAGACAGAGAAAAGGGCTTTGATTGGGAGAAATTGAATTTTTCTTAAAAATAGAGAGAAATGCTGGAAAAATAAAAAAACTTGAAGAAATTTTGGTTACAGATTCTATATGTACA